TCACATTATAACGCCCCACGGCTGAAAGGGCGAGCATGTTTGAAGTGAAGGGGATTCGAACCTGCGACCCACAGATTGCGAGTCGAGCGCCCTAACCACCTGGTCATGCCGGGCCTTCTACGTGTGGAAATATCTGCTTTGAAATAGTCGATAAACTAATTTTTTCTGAGCCTACCAACTGAAATTTTAGTGACATGTCTTTAGTATTATGTTTTTATGTTAATTCATATTGTTTTCACATATTTGACAGTCAATTTAATTACGGATTTCAAATGCATGATATATTTTGTATAGTTTCTAAAATGAAGAGAATTTGATAACTTGGGAGAATGTCCCTTATGTTTCATATATGGTGATTTATTCTATTTGACTAATAACACGCTAGAACAAATATGTATCACAGGTATTATTACATTGAACTGTAAGTCAGTATCTTATAAAGTAAGGTGTTTTCGTAAATAGTATATTAGTATGTTTTAAAGTTTTGTTAAATGTTTCAATATGTGTGATACTTAAGTCTGATATTTTACTTACATATACTAAAGATAGTTTATTAGTCTGTGATGAGAAGTGATTTTCATATAAGGAAATCATAGAACGCTGATTTGTAACTAATGATTTTTATATATTTGATTATCCATTTATAAAGAATAAATGAAAGGTAATTCATGTTACAGTAACAATTTCAAAATCCTCGTGAGGAAATATCCGTTTTGAAATAGTCGAAGAATAATCACTTGATTTATAACTAAAGGTTATTTTACGATTATGATTATCAACATGGACGTCCACAGAAATTTTTCCAAGGATGTGCAAAGTAGTGTGAAATTGTGAATTGAATAAAAAATCAATATACGTATGCTGAACGAATAAAGAAAGAATTTGCTTCTTATTTTCCAGAGAGGGTGGGGGCAAGTACCCTCTCTTTTCCGCCCCCTGCGGACGCCTATGATTGTCAACTCTTTTTGGGTATTGATCATTAGTGAAAAAATGTGTTTGATGCTTTGTTAAACTAATAAGTTTAAATAGTATAGTGTACATAAAGTTAAGTTTTTGCACAAATTTTTAGGTGAAAAGATAATACATGTTACCGTAACATTGTTTAAAAATCTATGTCAGTTTTGAAAAATTATATTTTCTGAGTCTGAAACATCCATGAACAAATGCATGTGATTGGAAGCTTGTTAATATTTAAGTAAAAATTATATTGTTTGTTGTAGACTAATGTGTCTGATGATGTGAACGAGTTTATCAACACTACCTGGAAACAACTGTGTTACCATTCGAGTACATACAAATATAGTTCGTTGTATTGTATAATGAAATTTTATACATTTCACATGTTTATGTGAATATCATAATTTAGAACTGAATAGATCTTTCATTTTGAAAACTATTCTAAGCCTACTGACACAGTCTGAACATTTGACTGTTTGCCGTATGTCGGGCACAGTATTGAGTAGAAAGAGTGCAATTATTGTTCGCTAACTGAAATGTCTCGTCAAATATTGAGAAATAGAACACCGTGAATACACATTTATTGTTTTGTATAACTATGTATAGTGGAATAACTATGTTTACTAACTTTTAAATTCAGTGACATACAAAACTCTAGTTAAAGTGTGGTGAACATTAAATTTATGTAGAAGATATATGATTATGTAGAATTTGAACTGTTTATTTTCAGTATTAGATATAATTTAAATACATAGATAGCGACAATATATTATAATTGACTTTTATTTTATACAAAATAGACTTGGCTAACTCCGAAATGATCTTTGTTATGTATGTAAATGACGTTTCTCTCCTTTCTATGTCCTCTTTTTCTGTGTTTACCCTTCCCATGTGACCACGTGACATTTCATACTTGATACAGTGCTTTTTGAACACGTATGTGATGTAAGTTACATCTCTAATGGAGAATAAAGTTCAGTCCTCAAAGATTTATGAAAAAATTGTGTTATTACTCTATAATAGTGATTAATCATATTCATTATGGATTAAAATGATTTACAACAGAGTTTAGTTTTGTGTTATAATAGTTGACTCGTTGAAATAAGATGTTTTGCGTCATTTTTAGAATGTAAAAAGTTATGGAACGAAAACCAGAAACTGTTTGTTAAATCGTTCGATATTTATAAAAACATTCGGTGTGACAAAAATTTTCAGCAGTACGTTAAATGTGATAGTGTTAATATCCAGATTTAGAAACAGTAAGTTAAATGCACTGATTTTTAGGTGTTAAAGTAATACAGTTTCAAAATATATTTTAGTTTTGAAAATACCCCCCCCCCCCCCAATGAAAGAATAGACCATTCCAAGCTTTTACTTGTTGTTAAACAAATGTTTAAACAACTCTATTCAATTATGTA